GAAGGGTAAACCACTTCTGAAAAACCTTGCCAGGAAAACCGCAGGGACTAGTCCAGGCAGTTGCCTGAAGTCAAGATTGATTAAAAGGCACACACACACACACAAAAAGCCTATATTGTCAATCCAGTTGACCACTGTATTTCCTTCTTTGTAGGTCCCGTCTCTGGAATATGGAGTTGTCCTTTGGTTTGATGCTTACACTCTCAGGAGGCAGAAATATGACCTTCCATGTACTCAAGGCCAATGGACCATCCAGAACAGAAAGTAAGGATCTACAAACATCTTGGTATGTTCATTTTACAGGACTGGCTTAAAAGAAAAGCGAGCATTTCACAGCCTTTTCACTGATAGCAAATCAAACAGCAATGCTTTGAAAAACTCTGACTTTCCCTACCTGATGTCTTCCAACATGTTGGATATCAGCTTTGCACAAACCAGCATGCAGTTTGTGGGATTGAGGGACAGGACCAAGTTTGGGAAATCTGCTCCATTTAAAAGTTTCCTATGCTATATTTTAGAACTGGAAGAGGGGAAATAAGCAGTTAAAGATGAACAGTGCAGTCCTAGGTATGCTTAATCAGAAGTAAGTTTCAATAGATTCAGCAGGACTTAAATTTACAAAACACATTTGAGTTCATGAAACAGCTTTGCCACAAAGAAATTGGATGGTTTCATACTTTTTGTAAAATCAGCCTCTTGCTAGCTCTAATTTAAATTCTATAATGAAATTGCTCTTCCGGCTCATTGTTAAGTGACTTGGAATTATATTTTGGACTTAGTTTCCCCTTACCTCCACTACCCATCACTCAAGGATGTGACTATTGAGAAATGTTTTCTCCATCTGTTTCTGCTGCTTCAGATCCTCAGTGTGTTAGTTTGGGCTCTATGCATTTAGCAACTGCATGACAGGCAGATATTCAGGACATACAATTTTCCATTTTTGCTACATTCCCCATGCTAAGGAAAATTGCATTTGCTGGATTTCTGGTAGTAATCCATTTTTTCAAGAAAAAGTGATTTGCATTAAAGATATTGGAAAACAAAATCCAATCCTCCTCCCCACCCCCAACAATTCTATAGTTATCTTGCTACAGGCATAGGTCCATTACTTAAACTGGCTCAATTTAAAAAAGAAATCAAAACTTGAATTTGGTCTCATGGTTGTAATTAATTTCTTCCACTTTTTCAACATTATACTGTCATCAGGTGAGCCTTCTTCCTGGTGCTACAGTTTATAGCCACCTCTTGTTTTTAATTCTGAGTTTTGTTTTTAATTCCGAGCCCCAGAATTTATTTTTGGGTTAGCAGCCCAGGTTCTACTGTTCTGTTTGTGTCCACAACTAATGCCAATCCTGGGGTGCATATACTGTATAGCTGTTCCTGGAAGATAGTTACTACAGTATTTTAATTTTCCCCACTGGGGGAATTGTGGGTAATTGTACAGTGGCAGATGTCTCACAGTTGCTGACTTCACTTCCAGCAAGTAAGTCTGCCTGTTGGAAGGGATCCCAAAGAAGATGCTTTTGACTTTCTCTTGTTCCCCAAATTTCGTAACATATTTCTTCCTATACTCCTGTTCTTTCAAGGACAAGATTGTTGATTGTGATTTATTGCCCTAGTCTTTTTTTTAAAATCCAGGTTCTGTGGTCTGCGGACTTTGCAAGCCTATGCTGAAAGAATACCTGTGATGTCTAGAGCTGGTGTCACCATCAACTTTACCTCTCAGATTTCCCTAACAGGGCCTGGAGTGCAGGCTGCTTACAGTCTATATAATCAATCAGATCGTGAGTATAGTCTCTAAAACACGCAGCTCAGCTAACTGGAAACTTGTGGAAAAATCAACGCATGCCTTGTTATGAATGTTGCCATCTTGATTTAACATGAATCAAGGGCCATACTGGATGTTGTGTCTGTCAGACTAATGGGGAACTGGACGCTTTACAACAGAACATCAATATTACTTAATGGCTGGGGACATTTCCCTAAATGGCCTAGAAATCTCAGTCTTTTGCATGATCAGTGCTAGACTTGCAAATTTTCAATATGCTGCCATTGATCTGGACTCCTGCCTCAAGTTGCTGCCAGATCCACCACCAGAGAGGGAGGGGGTTTCTGCTATTTTCCAGTATCATTCACACAAATTAATCTCCCCTTCCTAAAAGCATACTGTTTTTATTTACTAGAGGACAACCTTGATACATTTGAATGGGAAAAAGTTCAGGTAATATTCTGCTCTCTTCTGTGAGGGGTAGGCCTCATCTAAGATCCCACTAAAATTTCAGGCCAAAATGCAACACCAAACATTGGGAACTGGATTTTGGCTGTTCTAGGATGCTGTCTGTGCATAGACAAGTTGAGTCTGAAAGTGATTTGTATCTTTCTCACCCAAAGTGTTACCATGGCTCGTCGGAGGAAAGGCAGGAATGACTAGTAGGTAACACCAGCAAGTGGAAGTGCTAGGCCAACATCCTGATAGTATAGGATCAGCAGCAGCAGAAGTGGAGGCCACGTGATATGATAAAGAGGATTGTGGATGGACCCTTCTGAGCAGATAGTTATGCTTTGTCAGCATTAATGCTGATCCCCTGCATTTAGAACATGATGCCAAGCACAGTTTAAGGAAGACAAAGATAAGCTTCATACCACATTTGCGGAGAGTGTTTGTAGATGAGATTAGAAGCAGTTGAGTGGTTTCAATATTTGAAGTGAAATTTGGTTATGCATTAAAAACCAACTAACATTTTTCTTTATTTTCCATTCAAAAAAAAAGCATGCCCTAGAGAATTCCTTTGCTTTGTCAATGGTTTGTGCGTGCCAGCTTGTGATGGGATTGAAGACTGCCCCAATGGACTAGACGAGAGAAACTGTGGTGAGCAGTGCTTTATCATTTCCTTCCCTTGTCATCACATAATGCTTGACTTTTGTTAGAAAATAATCCCTCTGTCCTTTTTGAGCAAAAGGGTCTCTGCAGGTGACACATGCTTTTCTTGCAGAAGAGTTTATTCCTATCTATGAGTCAGCCTCTCCAAAACACATTATTACAGTTTCAGAGCCATCCTAATTTCCTATGATGTAGCCATTGGTGAAAAGCCACTGACTGCTATGGGAGAAGAGATCTACAGTTGAAGAGGTAGATCTCATGCTCCTGAACTGCTCTGTCATTTAGCTCTGAATCCCGCCAGCAGAACCTGGACATGAAAGAGTATGGCCACATACATATTCATGCACAAACATACAAGCACTTTCCCACCGCAAAAAACAGATTATATTATAATGTGGACTGATAAGCTTCATTGCTGGTTGATTTAAACTTGTAAGGTTTTCATCTTAGTTTTTCAAGGAACTGCACTCTAGTTTATTTTTTCTTTATGATTTTCTTTTTTAAAGAAGCATGTAAATAATCTTCTCAAGCCCAGTGTCTTTGAAACACATCCAGAGAGGATGCCATTTTCTAGGAGACACTGATTTACTGCTTACATATTTACTGTATTATATTACATTACATTACATTAAATATAATATAATATAATATAATATAATATAATATAAT